ATCGTAATTATATGTTGGGTGGATCTGATTTGGGAGTTGTGAAAATGCACCCGGCCGTGTCAGGGTAACTGCGGAACGGGTATCAACTTTGTTTACCCCGACATACATGACAAATGGCTTTTCTGTCGTTATGTTGTGATTAAAGACTGCTGTGGTGTGGATCCAATTTTAGTGTAAGTTCTCAGTGATGCGGGTTGTACAAGTGAGTTCCGTTTGAAAAGACTTTCTGAATCTGACCTGTGTTACCATAAAATCTGCAAAACAAATCAAGGTGTTAACACTCAGTCGTGGACGAGTGATGTCCACCGCGGAAAACTCAGGGAAATTCTTTGCGCTGCACAAGGTAAGGTCTTGGTAAGTCTGGGAGACTATTTACGTCATGTGAGACCGACTGTTTGTAGGAGCGAAATGTAACAAGTCCCTGAACGAGGTTAGCATGTGTCGGACTATATTGCAGGATTTTTCCCAAAACAGGAGCGCACCGTCTTCGGACATCAGCTGCTCTCGTACATTCTCTCGTCCAGAACAGCCACAATTAGTCTGCAACATTTTTGCTTTTTCGAACTAGGTCGGTACAATTTGATCATAAGTGGCGTTGAATCCGTAACCTACTGTGAACACATGTGGCTTTTCCCTAAGCACAGTTGGTCCCGGGATTTTAGCACAAGTTGTAGGTTTTCTTTGGTAGGTGATCGCAAACTGTCGAGATGTCACTGGCCTTCGTTACCGAGGTGATGCTGCAGCAATTTGATTTTCACCGCATCATCAACCTCGTTACTGCCAACAATAAGCACAAGTAGATCAACGTAGTTAGTGAAGGCAGTTAGCCATTGTATACCTAGCTGCGTAGTAGGCTCTTCAGTAAAAGAACTCCAAAAAAGACAGAGATACCATCATCGAACAAGCCAAGAGTAATTCGAATAATATCCGTTGCACCCATCGAAACCAGAACAACGATATTGCAGTAGGGAACTTTAATTCAACAGTAAAGGCAGAACATCCAATTCAACACATGTGAGTAAGTAATAAACTACCTTGAAGGTGAGTCACATGAATGCGCGAACGATGACCGGTTGATATACGGACACACACTCGCGCGTAGATACTCACACGCAGCATTAGCAACCAATTATGACTGGGCACCGGTGAGTGGACTTGGCATCAGTAACTGTAGTCGAGTTCTGACCTTCGATAGAACCTCCAAACTAACCAGCCATGGCTCAGTCCACACCTGAGTACAAAGGCGTCGGGGAGCACGGGGCCAACTGAAATGCTTCCGAAAACGTCCCACCCAACAACCCGCACTACGCACAGTGAAGCAGAACATATGCGCTCTCTCTAATCGTCACATTGACGACAGTGATGCGCATCAGCTGGAAGAGCTTGCGATAATTTCCCATTGCTCCCGACCCCCCCAATTTCTTGAGGCCTACTTGTCTACCAAGCTTCCTTGTCAGCATGCATTCTCCACTTCAGTTCGTGCATAACCAATACAAAAAAAGTTGTTATCGAAAAAGAAACGTCGTGAGTCTAATAAAATACATTACTCTATCCGGTTACATTGTGCTCAGCCAACACGGAGTTTTCTTCCAAAAGGTTCCCCGAATTCTCGGATATCCAGTGACTGATACGTTGACGACTGATAGTGCCGCAAGCAGAGTACCCCGAATCGTGCATGGTGGACGAGATTCTATTCCACTGAAGCTAGGTGTCATTAGGGCAAGAGAGCGGAAATTCCGCAGGCAGGGCATCCTGGTAGGCATGGCTGACCGAAATAACCAATCGAGGGAGACGGTTCGTACATGTCCCGGAAAAACGACGGCGCTCCAAGGTATGATCAGAGTCGACGCACGTAATCCAGTATGAGCGGCAGTCCAGAATTGAACTACGTCAGCTGTAACTCATGTCAACAAGATCTGTTTGGGTTCACCGCTGGACAGCTATAGAGGGACGCCAAACAGCACTTCAGCGCCCACTGTGTTTAAAACCCAATGCTCTGCGCACAGTTGCAACAAACGCTGTATGGTCAGTCGGAATTAATCCTATACTTACAACCTAGTTCAGTTCCAGTAAAGTTCTAACGACCTAGTTGCGCATTCATATCCTCCGCATTGGAAATACTACGAAGAAGCATGTTCAGTTCGTAGTAGCGTGCGTCCTTGGCAGCATCGGAAATGCAGTCGGTGGGGAAAAAAGCGGAAACCATAAAAAAGCGTCCAGCACCACATTGTGATTCAACCTTAGTTCAAGTCATCAAATGCGCTGCAAACAGGAATCCAATCAACCAACGATGATTCAATTTTGGAGGTGAGAACGATGTCCACCCCAACCCGATTAGTGATTACCACAGCAGCGTCTCCGGATGCGTGTAACCAATAGTGATTGGACAGGTTTAGCACAGTTACCTCAACAATCCCACTAAGGTCATTGACCCTAGCTTCGGACACGTAACACACGTCAATCAAGTTGGGAACTGCAGTGGGAAGGTTAGTAATGGGGGTCGGGAGGCGAATAAGAGAAACAAGTGGAAAATAACGGAGGCGCCAGCAGTAGCATGTTTTCACCTATCCGTCCTGCTGCATGAAGCAGATAAGGCGACCCATTCAAAGTTGCGCGACAGCCGATGCACGTTCTGTAAAAAATCTAATAGGTGAGCTAAGATACTGCCAGGGGCTCAGAGTTAGACAGGATAACGATTAGGGTCCTCAACCAAAGCCCTTGGCGCGAAACCTTGTCCACAGGTAGGCGGAGACGTGGTGAAGATTTGGTTTCATAGGAATGGATGCCATCCCATTTCTAAGCCCAAGCCTGGGGGACCAGGAGACCGAGATTTGCTGACTAACCACTGGTCAACGTGGTTGGAGTAGCTCTCAAGGGACCGGGAGGTTCACCCAGTATAGCTCAATGGGTCCAATATGTACGTAAACCGTAGTACCAGTCTAGTTGTGACGGAGCAGTAGTCACTGAAATTACGGAGTATGGAAACCAGAAACGCACCATGCAGAAATCTGGTTGCAACCCACCACGCCATAAAACAAGTCCTATAGTCAAAAATGATCTCGCTTGTTGTGACACAGCCCATCTTGGAATAAAGTGCGACCCTGGTGGTAAACCTGGACTCAGATCCAGATGTTGTGCAAGTGTGATTGGATAGATTCAGGGTGCTGCATGTTTCGGAACGTGGTTCCCCAGCCCCTATTGTCGCTGAGTAAAAATGGTGTAAGCGATCAGTTAATCTGTCTAAACAGCCAGATCACCTCTCGTGGGCAAAATAGTGAGACACTTGTGCACCAGTTCCGTGGTCAAAACCAAAGCGCGCAACGCAGCAGCACGTCCAATGAAATCGCTCCCGTCCTTTCTGGTGAGTGCAACCTAAATACGTGAGTACCTGAGTTGTCGACCTGTAATCCTTGGACACCTTGGTGTATAGGCATGTTACAATCTAAATTAGATGGTGGAAGATAAGCCGAGATGCTAATTTGTGTTCGTGAACAGATGCCGCACAAATCGATCGCAAAAGCGCAGAGCAAGGCCTGGAGATTATTCTTGACCGACCTGAGATAGGGCATGGACAACAAGAGATAACAGACGAAATGAATCTACCAATTTGAAAGATGATGAAAATAGACCGCATCAGATGATAAATTAAGAGTGACCTCTTGCGTTTAACCAGAGAAGTGAATTGCCGCGGAAAACTGTGATCACAGTGCCTTGTCACAAGAGCATACTTCTTAGATAACTTTTAGAAGATAAAGGCCTCTGACTCAGTAGATCGACCACAAGAAGTGTGATGTCTAACTGGGGACATGGTTTGAAAATGGGTTGCGAGTAAGTACAGTAAGTAAAAAAAATGCAATTTTGAGACTAGCAGTTGACAAATGAGCGATAACAGACACTCGCAGATGGTTTGATGAGATTGCACCTTATTGGCTGGAGACTAGGTAACATGCGGCAAATCAGTGAGCCGTGTTCTATTATCGTCAGAAAGCCTGCAGTGCTTATGTTATAGTGTAGCATGACTATACTTACAATCAGAAGATGTCGCAACCCGAGGCGCAATTTCCGGTTGAGAAAGAACGGAGACTGACACTGCCTGACAAAAAAGCAAAGGTTCCTCCGGTATAGGTGGATTAAGAAGCATTAACAGAACCGTCCGCACACAAACTAGGGAATCAGTACCATCCACACACAGCTGACGTAGACAAAAAGTAAGTGATACAACCCTAGTAGTAATGAGACGAATGAAGGAACAGTTAGTGCGTGACTTGAACGAAGTAAGCAAGGGCACAGGCTCTCGGTGCCTAAAGCTTGCAAATACTACGACCGTATGAAGGTTACGTAATATCCACAAAACGGCTTCTCTGTTCGCATCAACCCCACAGAGAAGGTAGCAGCCCATAAAATTTGAGCAGGCAGAAAAGGTGTCGCTGGTACCAAGGTCAAAAGTTGCTCGAGCTAAGTTCGAAATGGGTCAAGCGGACGTCGAAATGGAGAAACAGACAGCACCAACTTCCGTACCAGCTAGATGGAGTTTGTTCCTCTAAAATCTCGCTCAGATAACGAGACGAAACATATCCCAGTAAACGCAGGATGAGCATGCGTGGCACGTACCCCAGTCACGGCAACTCATCCACGCTTTTAACTGGCATCCAAATGGACTGATGATCGCCACTTAGCAGTCGCAATCATGGCATGCACGCGGGAGCCGCCAGATGAACATGATAGCCCGCAGGGAAGTGGCATACGAATTTCCAAAACCAAACGGGGATGATCGTTACTGTCGTAGAAAACGGTCAGTACTAAACTCATCGCCTTGTCTACACTCTAGAGGTTCCGAAACAAAGGTATGAAAATAAAATTTTCCGTTGTTAAGGTCGAGAGACAGAAAAGATCAAGGAGGAAAAACCAGTAGTGGATAATACATTTTATTCAGCTAGATGACATGATTCCTATGGATGCACCAATTATTTCCTTCTCATCTGCTTTTATGTCCTATATCAGGTCTCCCACTGTTCCCCGGAGAAGACGAAGGAGATCAGCTTGCATGCATTATGGAAGTTCTAGGAGTTCCACCGTCTGAGATGTTACAGAACAGTCCTCAAGTAGAGCGCTACTTCGTGGAGCATCGTGCATCGAAGTCAGGAAACTCTGATGTGCAAAATTTCGTCGAAAGAATCACAATGAGCCCTCATCGTGACGTCGTATACTTGCCACGCTACTGCTCTATTCGATATCCGGATGACGGAGGGCCTCCTGAAATCGGGCCAGGAGTTGCAAAACGTTCTGGACATAAGAGGGGCGTCCCTGCGAGCAAGCCTCTTCTGTTCGCCATACTGCAACCAAGGCACGGCCGGTTCCGGCAGAAAGATTCCCAGAGTATGGCAAACTTGAGTGTGGATCTGGGCGCATTCCGAACTACGGAAGAAAAAGTAGTTTCCAAAGACAATGAACTATTGCTCGGTTTAATGTTGGCCTGCCTCACGTGGTTACCGAACGAACGCATTAAACCCTACAAAGCAATCCAACACGGATGGCTGCAAAATTTCAGTAAGAGGAGCACCGGGAGTTCTCAGCCTCGCCAACGGATACGCAGTATGGAAGTATCGCAAATGGTCACTTACAGAGATTCCGGCCCAATTCGTTGGGAAAAAGAACATGTAGACCAATCCAAAACATCAACCGACGAGCTGATAACGGCTATTCCGAGAAGACGTAAGGCCACCGGAAGGTCCAGGACTGAATGTATATCATCCCGGCCAATAACCATATGTGACGCAAACACAATTAATTGGATCAAGGAAGAACCAATAGTACAATCGACAGATAGTAGTACGAATCTGAATGACCAAGTAACGAGAACCAACTTACAAATACAACCTTCCTCGTATCAAACGAGCTGGATTCCAGCAACGAAAACGAAGACAGTCTCTCCGGTAACATCGCTAGGGAGCATAGCTGAGTTTAGTGACTCTGTCATTTCATCAAAAGGCTCCGATCAAACAACAAGACGTGTAACTCTTATTTACGCCAATGCCAAAAATGCAGGAGCATCGGAGGATAGTGAAACAAACGTGGACAACGCGACCTCAGAGAGAGAAGGAACAAGAGTACGTGTAGGTCCTTCAGGTGTGCCATATGAGACGAATATACGAAGAAGAGAAAGCGCCCAAACGGCGCATCTGAATACCTCCCGTCGTCCGTATTCTGAATTCTACTCAGTGACAGAAATTCAACAGTGCAATACAAATGCAGAAAAAAGTGGAATAAATGCACTACCGACTGGACCCATAACGAGCTCGGTAGATAGCAATGGGAAATGCGCCCATACTCAGAGGACATGCCGGCAAATACCGTCAAGCAAAGAGAGTGGAGATCAGCAATATACTAACCATGCTCACACCTTTCAGTTGGCTTTCACTGGCGGTTTGGCCTTACGAAGCACAAACAGTGGCAACAACGGCCAGGTGATAATCACCAAGGTGTTGGAACCAGTGAACGTAAAAAGACAACCCAGAACGGCTCAGGCGATCCGACGAAACAGTGAATTGATGACCAGTTCTATCTTGAATGTAAACGAACCACGATTAATAGGAATAGGGAACCGACGACATGGTCTACCCAGTCATGTGAGCGATGAGAATGCACGCAACGATCAGCAACACCTCCAAGCCTGCCGAGGGGACCAGTGCAAACAAGGGGCGGTGTCATGGAACCCGCTCACTTCACCTTCAATTGCGAAGACAAACCAGCACACTTCTGAGGCTGGATTACCTGATGTTGCATCGAAACCTGGTAGGGAAGCATTGTCGTATAGTCTAAACCGGGTAATCCGCAAATCCGATGGTGCCTCTGGGGAGGACAACGGATGGGCAAAACATACACACTACCAACAACTGTCTGCGGCACAAAACAACATAATCCTTCGCAGAATGGCCGTGCCTCCGCAGTACCGAGGCACGGTGGTTGAACTCAGATCACAGGCACATAATATGAGGCGTTAAACTGCCCGACTGGAAGCCAACGATAAGCAGGTGTTTGTGACTGCTGTCGAAATCAAGAGAACAAAACACGCGGCGAAAATCTTCACCCAGTTCTATTTGGAATCCAAACGACCCATGGGGTCGTTCTGGTACACTGTGATGTGAATTAAGCGTAAAGTATACCAGTAACAGTCTTTCAAAACTACCTTATGTACCATATTCCTACAACATGCAACCAACTGCAGATAACAGTGATGAACGGCTTGCCATCTGTTTAATGCTTGGCTTGAGTTTGTGAAAAAATGCTAACACTCCTCTACTGTGATACACATTTGCATAAAATGATGGGACTACAAATCATTTATATTCACTTGTATTTACAAGCGTATATATATATATATATATATATATATATATATATATATATATATATATATATACAGTTATGCATCTACAAACTTGTATCTTTCATGTTACCGGAAGGGTCACAAGCCGAAGAACGTTTATCCATCAAAACACATATCTAAGTAGATTATACTCCCATAAAAGCTCGGCCAAACAAAATGTAGTCGTCGCCCTGCATGAGATGAGGAAAAAACAGCCCAGATGCTTAGGTGCGAGAATATACGCTGGGTTTAGCTGGGAATGGCAGGCCTGGGAATATCGCAAGGCATACTCAACGAACAGACTGTAAGCGGTTACGTTGCACTCCGGCCTCACCAACAAACGACAAAACGGATCGGTGAGTTTGCCAAGCCGGATAGTCGGCTGGCCACTATCGTGAACTGACATCAATCGGCCATCATAAAAGTCCCAAATCCAAAGGACAATACTCTTAGTTACCCAATCTGCGTATTAATGGAGACAATCGACGCCTAGACAGTAAAACAAGAAATTTGGATCCTGATGTAGATAGGTATCAATCCAAATGAAAGGACGAATCGATTTATTTTGTAGCAAAGCAGGCAAAAGACCGAGCATTGGGAAAACAGATAATCCAGAAGAGAATGGCCAGTGAATGTGGAGGGACATACAGAGTGCAAGACACAATGGCTGCAAATGGTGATTGAACTAGGACCTAGGGGACAGTAGCTCAGCAGCTTCTGCTACTTAGGCAGAAAAGCAAGCAGTAGGAAGGCTATCACTGCATTCATCCTACCAGAAACTCTGTAATTCAGAGACGACAGGGTGCAAACGAGCATTAGACACATTCGATGAAGGGAAATGGAAAAGTGTGATGATAAGTTTCAAGGCAAGAAACAGAGAATGAACAAAAATGCAAACGGTTCGCGAATCATATTTAAGCATCTATTATATGATGGATCTACTGAGTTCGCGATTTCCAATGAACGGATGTTCAAGCTGTGTCGCGGTCTGGAGGAACTTGTTAAGAATCAATGGAGATAAATATCTAAACGAATACACAAGTCGGGAAGAGCTGAAAACGCGCTATTCATGGCTAGAGTTGGCACAACCGAAGTGCCGCAGACGTGTCGACGAACGTGTGAATGCCTAACTGGTTGAAAAAAGAGCTAACAAACTGGTCTGAGGTCAGGTGACTGCAGATGTGTTTGGACATAAGGTGGCGCGATTGAAAGCATTACTCTGACTTAAGAATGCAAAGAAAGTAAGCTGCTCACTCACATTTAGAAACTACTGGGTAAACCTAACAGCGCGAATGAGACCAAGGCGGTGCATGGCACAAGTCGAAGGTGCATACTACGTTCCTTCATGTAATCCGGTAATATGGACGCGGTGCTCTTTAATGCAATCGGCCTAAGTCAGTATGCACACGTTAAGCAAACAGCGTTCAAACGAATGGGTAACAACGGGGAAATCCTCATGGGCAGGTGATAATTCCCGATTGCTTATTTCGGCAGAGAAAAACAGGCCTTAACGTCGTGAATGAGCAATGTGAGCCTGATTAAAGCAGCGATAGTATAGCGTTGCATATCTAGTCCTTAACTAAACAACCGACATTCAGATGTCAACTAAGTGAGTCAAAGTTGGTGAACCGAGAATCAGCCTACGAAGGCTCCGATATTAGTGCCGATACAGCTACTTAGGTAGACAAAACAACAGATCGCACCTAATGAACCCTAGAATCCGCTGAATCGAAGGCTGAGTGTCAACACAAACTGTGTAGGTGTGAGGATAATGAAAAGGACGGAAAATGCAGCTACAATGAAGTGGAGACAAGCCGGAACTCCTAAGATTTGCCATTTACAAGGGCCAATAAGCGGCCGCAGTAAAAAAAACATGCGGCCTTTGACTGGAAGTTGTTAAGCGACAAAAGACTCGATGATTTTTGAAGGAGTCATGCTGACTCTTGAAATATGGAAATAAAAGCTAGTGGCCACCAGACTGACGTCACGCATTGGCGCTAGGCAACGCCGAGTAAGACCCGCCACAGATGAGTCATTTCCGTACTGTTGAAACCATGGAGAAAGTCAACAGAGCCAGCTGTCTTATTCAATCTCACCAGTACTAGCTTGTGTCGAGTATCACCGATGGTGTGGTCTGTGAGGTCAACGCCCCGAGTGAGTGCAGGTGATCCAACTAACAGTACTGGCATGATGAGCAAGTTCATAGGCCTGAGGAAGGAACAGCTACAAACTATTAACTTGGTTTTTCAGTTTGGGCAAAATGTATTTAATCGAACAGGGATGTTTGTTTAAACTGAATCACATAAGACATTGGTGAGCATTACGACTGTGCCACTATAAACCGAACGCAGAAAACACGGCAGATGACAACAAAGCTAGTTTATCGGTAAATGTAGTACTGATGGTCCTCAGGTGGGTTAGCTATATGCCGAAACAAATAATGTCATAACCCGAACGAAATTGCAAAAATAAACTAAAAGCCCAATGTTTAGTCGGAGAAACCGAGAGGTAAGTACGAAGGCTGTGTGGAACCACAATGGAATGGGGATGAGCACGGTTCATAAGTGCAGTGATACAGAGATCATGTGAAGAGGTTGGGAGCAAACACAACGGGAGCAGAATATTTGGAACCTTAAGATATCATACAGAATATGGACAGAAAATATGGTCCAACCTGCTAAGTTCCATATAAGAGGGCACTTCTGGACCATCTCACAAGGGCTTTGCAGGGACACAATTTCCACGGTTTGTCCAGCTAAGCTTCGTAATTATCCAACTCAGGACTCACGAAAAAATTACGCAACGGGTGTATTGGTTAGGAATCAGGAAGAGGCCGACGTAGGAGCCAAAGCTGATGGATAAGAGGCCAACATAGAAAGAGCAGCCACACAGGGAAGAAAAAAATAGCTATTGAAAGGATCGGGCTTCCGATTCAGGAATACGCAAAATTAAATTGGGAACCCCTTTGAAATCGGTGCGTCGCTACGTCATTAGGCTAGGCGTAGTCTCCACCTGCATAATTACAACAAAAGCAAAGGCAGCAAAAAGGTCTACAGTCCATGCAGAAGTAAAGCTTATTAGTTCAAACATTTTTGTTATAGACACCGGATCATCGAATGTCAATCACTTTTGAAGGAACGAGCTTCAAACGTAAAAATACGGCAGCAAAGAGGATTATGCGTCTGAAGAAGAATGATAGCTGAGGGCAAACACATATTTCCTGGAGTGAAAACGTGTAGGTAGGATGGAGTTGTGCAAAAAAGACGTCGACAAGCGTGGTATACACGTTTTAAAAACAAAGACGAATGTCAAGTAGCGGCATACAGCGACGAATCCGTTAATCCACATCCATATCTTGTGTTTTGGTTGACGGGCTACTCTTGGAAATATCGTTCATCGTGGGAGCTGTGTCGATGTTTTCGCTCTTCACTTCAGTGGATTCTTTTGGTTGTGGAGGCGTTGGCTTCGGGGAGTTGATGATAGGGTGACAGACAGCTTCCATAGTCTAGAATTGAAAAGCGAAACATAGTCAGAATGATCGCAAGAATAATTTTATTAAATGGAAATATGCACACATGGATAGAAGGTGCTAGTATTCACATTTGGTGCGGAGGGGTACTTCACATAAAAAAGCGAATGCAGCATTTTACAAGTGACCCTACAAACGGAGTGCTCAAAGGCAGTTTAAATACCATTACCAAGGTATTCAATGAGAATTATGTGATATTTCTGTTAAGTTAGCAGCACACAAATTCCGAGTTTCATTAGCAAAAAGCGATCGTTGAACAACAAGATATTGGACTCGGCCGTTAGCATGCAAAAGGTGGACTTTACATGGAAGATGGAATTCTTCGTCTGAATCATAGGGTCAAGTGAAAATTAAATCTCCACAATTCCATCGAGATATGAACAAAGACGTTAAAATATTGCTACCTGTCAATACTCTAATTAGTCCTCAAGTTCCCATGTTCTATTTTTGTTTGATTCAGTGACATGGGATCACAAATAGGAAGTAGCAGTGTCAGCGGCTAATCGTTCCCTGAGTCTGATATTAGATACAAATCCAGCTATGTTTTGAACAGCTGTAACGGAGATTACCTCCCATATGTGCCCCGATAGACTTCGAAACATAGTACGTGAGTAACCCTCCTTTGACCCGGTATCACGACTTTGTAGTGGTGTCCGCTCCTGCTGCATGGAATGGTGGACTCAGTATTCCGAAGTCACCTAGAGGCAAAATGTAGATCATGATGCGATCGGATCACACCCGATGTTGAAACAAGATGCACATTGTTGGACTCGTCCGATCATCTGTGCGTCGCCTCCGGTGAACGGTCAGTAGGGGCGCGAGCTGTATCCTAGCATTGGTTTTATGATGGAAGTGGCGAGTGGCAACAGGTACAGAAGCGTTTAAGCGCCCAAAAAAGAAATATCTGTTTCCGTATAGCTTGTTCGTGTTGTCTGAAGACTACACATCGAAAGGTGAGTACGCCTGGGTCATTCGAGGGTATGGGACGCAGTGGTCGTCCATCGAAGGTGAATTCGGACGTCAACACTCTTCCGCAAGCTCAAGAAAACTAACTTAAGTGAGTTGACTGGCAGATTAACCACTGCAGACCACATGGAGAGGCAGTTTAGATCTTACTGGAGTAAGCCGTATTTGTCAGGAGTACTAAACACTCTCCTTTCAGGTCGTTCACAAACTGAGCATAAGGTGACCGTAGAAGCTGAAGGAGAATGCTAAAGGAACAAAGTAGATGCATCAATGTGCCTTGGGATCTGCAACTGGTCGAGGGATACGAGCCGGCCATATGGCAATCGACTTGTACTTTAGTAAAACGTGGAAGTCACAGATGCGCTGGTGCGGTGAGCCGATACACCGCTCACTCACCTTGTGGAGGTAAGCATAGATAACTACAAATGTTGTAACGATGTAGATCATGTCCTCCCGATCCAGCGCTAGCGAGTAATCATGCCTCATTAAAAGCGATCTGGTGATCCAGGCGAGTCCTAGTATGAAACCGTACTATGCGAATGCGAAATCTGTTGATTGGAACAGCTGAGCTCACATCAGAATCTTCTGTTATTAAGTAAAAGTAATAATAAAAACACGTATATTTCTCAATTGTGCGAGAGGATGTTCGCGGAATAGAGAGATCATTAGTGCAGTTATGATCACGCTCATGTATGAGTGGGATGTAGTCGGTTGCGTGTGTTGTTAAGATATCGTGAAATACGTAGTCTTGATTAGTATCGAGTTTTGTGCCACTGCTTTTTCAACTGGCTATATATTCTTTGGTCCATCTTGGAAGAACTCATTTGGTGATTCGTTCGACTGAAACATGGTCATTAGCAAGTTCTGATCTGGGAGATTTCCAAGCCTAATGCGGGATGCACTTGTATTTGTACAAGACCAGCTAGTGAGTGGTAGACCATTCCAGGGGATAGGATTTTGATCAAACAGCTGTCCTGGGGCTTGACACAATTAGTTTACAAGTTTTGTTGCGAAGTGTCCATACGAAATTATGTTGCGATTATAATGTGCACAGACTGGAGTATGTTTTCCGGCTTATCAGAGTGTGAATGAGCATCAAGTTTTCGGTCGTCGCAACCAACGAGGTTCGAGATTAAGCTGCAGACAACGCTCAAAGTGGATCATTTAATGAACAAATGTTTAGTGAGTTATTTATGTGGGTTTTCTACGGCATTTCTGTAAGCAATACGCATGTTATCATACATGATGCTGCATTACTCAAGGTATTTTGAAAAGCTCGATTTCGGCAGGGACTGTGTGGATTTTTGGCATACATTAGCAATAGACCGTTTGGCGTGTAAAACTTGACGCTTGATTTACTAGCTGAGAATTTAATGAGCCATGAGTCAGTATATCTCAAGTGAATCAACGTCTTCGTGAACGAGCAACATTGCGCTCTGGAGTTCATGTCGTCGAAATATATTAAACAATCTTAAAGTCATCGGCAAACAAAAAGTAGATGACAAGTTTGACAGACATCGTGATAACGTTAACATAGAGAAAGAAAATGGAAGGACTAAGTACGCTACCTTGGATGACACTACTAGTGACTGGAGTGATGAGAATGCCCATTCAGGTACAAGGTCATCCAACCCAGTAACGGGTCTCTGATGCCAAAGGACTCAATTTTTCAACCGTCGATTTTGTAGCATTCAGTCGAATGCTTTCTGCAGATCCAGAAACCAAACTATAGCTGTATAACCACAGTCAATGGATTCTATGATGTAATCCAATGGTAAGTTGCACAGTGATAAATTTCGGTCGGTAGTTAATAATTTCGCTGGTATTACTCAAGTTCCAAATCGGTTTTGCCACCGGGCGTTTCCAATCACTCAGGAATGAAAATTCGGCCAATGATCTGTTGAAAAGGTCAGACGCAGGTGAGACGATAGCGGATAACGAGATGAGAATCAGTGGACGAAGTCCGTAAGACCCAGCAAGTGTCTTCAAAGTTGGCGAGTAGGTGACACACCTCTTCAACACCGTAAGACTGATAGTCGAGTTCGGTATGGGCGGCACACATCGAACTCGGTACGGACATCTGGTCACTTGCGAATATGGAAGCGAAGTGCAATGGCAATGGGGATGCAGACACACAGATGGAGGTTAGTGTCTGCCTACCCGAGCAAGCTTCAAGCGATATCCGGATTTGCCTGTCACTGTGGCCTCCACGGGGACAGCCACAGAAGAAGCCTACAGAAGAACCATGAGTGGCTTGCGCTGCACCACCCACATAACCCATATCCAGTGTAAATCCGAAGGAATAAGACCGGGAGGCATGTGAATGAAAGGCCGGCCCACACTCCTTCATGGACAAAGACAAGCACGTTGCATTTGGAAAAGCAAGCGCACACAGGGTGGTGGTTAGGCCGTAGCCCCCTCCACACACAGATCATGTGCACAGAACCACTCTTTGAGGCTAACAACGACCAACTGCCTCCTAGAGCCAGTATAGACGAGGTGGTGGGTAATAAACAGGCAAGCACCTTGTCAACGTGCACATCAAGCGCAGCCACACCGGAGATGTTAAACAAAAGCCAAACTCTTAAAATGATGATAACATATAACATATAGCGTAGAAAGCATACGGAAGTGCTGGCATAATTCTACACTAAATGAGCATATGTACAGAATTGGTTAGCAACAAAGCCGCGATAAGTTAAAGATATCAGAAAAAAATATTTTAAAAAATGCCACAATCCCGAAAGTGTTAAAACGAAGTTAACCACAATTAGCTTAGCTGACGTGTGCAAGTTAATAGAACGTTATTCAGATAAACGTTAAAATGAGGTAAAAAAGTGCATACAGACAATATAGGAAACGTACCACCTGAAATAAAGAAACTCAGCACGCGGTTACTAATCGAATGCAGCGCACCTACCAACGATGCGCCGGTTCTGCTTACTCAGCAGCACCCGTCGTCTTTTTGATGCTGGTCCCAAGTGGCCTCGCTCATGGCTTACTAGGCCCGCTTGACTCAGGCACTCGCGACCGCATGTGCTACAGTACCACGCACTCGAGGTCGATGGAGCACATACCATCGGCGCCTGTCGCTTCCGCACCTAGCGGTTCTTCTCCGCATGCGCGAGCTTCCTCCTGCACGTCGGCAAATTTCTTCGTAATTAGATCGCGCAATGCATGCCGATCATTCGCTTTCTATTCCCATGACCTGAAAGCAACATTAGAACGTGAGATGCTCACTTTGACCATGTCCTAGTAACGAAGCTTCGGTTTCCTCACATGCCGCTTCCCCACATTCAGCTGACCGTATGATAGCTGCTTCGGTATTCGTTATACGCCACACATGACCAAGCCACCTAAGGTGTTTCAGCAAAAGTATGTAGGTCACTGGATACATTCCACTTCGGAGCAACACCTCTGTGTCTGCAACTCTGTTGCATTAACCGATGCGCAGAATCCATCGCAGACAAAATTGATGAAACCGCTCGAGATAACTCACATCTCACCGGTACATCGTCCATGTTTCGCTGCCGGATAGAAGAACGGACAGCACCATGGATTTGTACATCATCAGCTTCGTGCCAATGGTAAGCTGATGGTTGTTCCACATTCGGTACTCAAGCTTCGCGAATGCCGCCGCTGCCTTCGACACGCGGATAGGTAGCTCACTGTGTATCTGCTGGTCAGTCGAAACCACACTCTCAAGGTAGCAGAAACGGGAGGTGATGTCCAATACGTCAACACCAATGCCGATTGCACCTCCGGTGAAGGCTGAAAAAGACAGACGGTTATGTTTGTGTTGATATTGAGCCCGAATTTGGCCGCCGTTGAAACCAGAGCACTAGTCATGTGCTGCAACTCATCCGCGTTGTTAGCAAACAACGCAGAGTCGTCAGCGAACAACATACTGATGATTGTCTCACACACTAGGGTTCTTCTACCGGAAGGATGAGTGTTCAGCAAGCCACCAACAATACGGTGCTCCACACGAACACCGTAAGCACAAACTG